CCCCCCCCCTTCCAAAAAAACAAAAAAACAAAAGCTCCAGAACGGCGCGACTTAACGAAATTTTTTCTCATGCTCATGTAGTCACCATTATATTAGCCAATGCATTCGATTTCTTCTCACAATCTTACTATAGTTCTGACGGCGTAAGTTAACAAAACCCAGAAGGATGAGACGCTTAGTTGACCAGGGCGGGTATCGATCCGGGATTTGATCGTAGTTTATATATGTGGTAGTAACGCCACTTGTTAGCACAGCAACTCCGCCTGTAATAAATATTCAGGTAGAATATTTGGAAACTAATGAGAAAACTTAATAATAGACAAAAATAACTACTGATAGGTAAAAAGAATTAAGCAGCTCCTGCGAAGAGGATAAACAGCAGGCTTCAGTGCTACCACGGCTTGCCAATTCCATGAGGCTGGCCTGTAAACCCGTGCCTCGAATTTTTGGCGATTTGGCGAGTTCCTATGACCGCGGTCGAGGCGGAGTACATCACAGCCGGCTGATGTGGAGTCCCACTCCGAGCAAGTGCTTCTTGCTTCGAGGCTAACTGTGCCAACTGCTTACGGTTGTGCCTTTGCTATACTTGGTCTACACACTTATTGTTACTAGATCATTATCATTCTACAATTTGTGAAATTGGTTACCCCTGTGTCAGTTCTCCAGCTCTCGTCTTGCGCTATACTCAAGCTTTCCAAACCATTGTTGCTAGTTCGCAATGCTCAGTTCTAGGTATACTAGAATGACTAGATGGTGGTTACGTATCCTTTATAGATATCCTCACTTTTGACTTGTCATGGTAATTAGTTCTTTCGGTTTGAGTTTTTGTCTCTATGCATCATATTTATGTTTTTGACGGCATGTCGAATGACGTACTAAACAATAAACAATAAACAATGCTCGTACAAGTATACGTACAGAGCAGGTAGAGTAGAATAAAGTTTGGTGGAACTTAAATGAAGGAGCTCAAGCAGTAAGAGACTATATTCTTCCTGGGAAGGTATGGGGTTACGAAGCCACTTATCACATATAATGGTGGATAAATGGAGCAAAATACTGTAATATTTTTGGAATTCTTTTCTAATTGTTGTTTTTTCGTGTATTTTCTGTTGGAACTGCATCGATCATGCTGTCACTATTTCCAGTACTCATGACTATGGTCTCCACGTGGATTTGCAGCTGACATCCTCCATATAAACACTATTTTTTCCAAAAGTTGTGCTGTATAAAGTTATAATTTGTGTTGGAATAAAGTTGTTTGAATTTCTGATTCCGCATTTCCCTCAGAAAAAAATTTCACTTCCGTTTTATATAAATAGAGAACATAAACTTGTTCTCGAGCAGTAATGCGTGCTTCGTAATATATTACACTGGGACTGTAATCATTTGTCGCTAGGTTGTAATTGTGCTCAAAAACGGAATGGGGCAATTCGTAATCACGACAAGCTGAGGAACTCGCTTGAACTGTACGATAAGATAGTAGGAAAGATTAATTCGTCCGGTGCCAGCTATGTGGAAGCATTTCCTCTGGGTCCTCAACATTTTTTTCGAGTTGTGATTCCTTTCTGACTGCAGTTATTCTTACAGTACTATGGTTTCGTAGCCACAGCCTCCCCGTTCCGTTTCGTTTGTTAAAAAAGACAAATTTTCACCTCGTTTCATCACATCTTTTCGAGGGTTTGAACGTTATTTTAGCCCGAAAAAAATTTGTATCACATCTTTGAAGCTTTCAACATCCTTCGATACTCAGGGCTACAGGGATTAATCTCGAATTTCGCATCGGTTGCCTAGTGCTCTAAACTGATTAGTCACTTTCTATAGTAAGTAAACGCACACCATATGAAGGAGTTAATTGCACGGTGGCCTCTGAAGTATGTAAGGCGTTAGTAGCAGGGAAATGGCTAAAGCGCTTGCTTAAGTTGTAGGTACTTTAAGGGATATAGGAAAAGTAGTAAAATTTTCACTTATCTTCAGTTAACTGCTGTTATTTCGCCGCGGCACGCCATACAAAATACTCACAAGGTTGGCGAGTTATGGGCGAAAGTTCGACCTCAGACGGGACTCGAACTCGTACTTGTGCGTTCCGGGCACCGTACTCTCGTGCCCTTATACTACCGAGACTCTGCTTGCCCTTGTCTTCCTAATGGCTTTTAGTGTAAGGGATAAGAGAACGGTGCCCGGATAGAAAAACTACAGGTTCGAGTCCGGTCCGGCGACCAGACTCGAACCTATCGTTGTGCTATTTCCTTGGACACCGGCCATTATACAGTATCAAGAGAAGCCAGGGCGCTAGCCAATGAGCAATCTCATCGGGTCACGCCATGTTGGTATACTTTACTTTGAAGAAGAATATAATTGTGGAATCGACACGCTATGATAGACCGCGGAAGAAAGGCCACTTGAAACAATGGAAGTGATAAGTTAATCCTGCTTTAATCCGTTATCACGACGTAAAAATGGCAGCTTATTCTCAGACGTTGTTCGAGCTTGGGCGTCTACTCTCTGAATACTCTTCTATGTCTTTAGATTGGCCTGAATGTTTGCATCGTCCTAATTGGAATAAATTTATAAAACTCATTATTCACCAAAAGCTTCGACGTAGATTTTGAAAGGTGGGGGAGGGGGGGGGGGGAGAGANCAAGAAGTGGATCGGATAAACAAATTAGGTAAACCTACAGCCTTAGGCTTCAGTACTAAATCGGCCGAGTTTTCTGTGCTCACCATCGCTAGTTAGTATTTAAAACAGGGTACTCTGCGAAGGTAAAGGCACCCATATGGGCGCCAAAGCCTTAGTAGAGCTCTTACAAAATGGTGAGAGCTTCACTGATGCTATCCCTACTGTAAGAGCGAACTGGTATCAATACTGACATCCCCTGAAGATGCCAGCCTCACGCAGCGCATTTTTCTCATTTTTCCTTATCCTTTTATTTCCATATAGAACTTGCTCTTCATGAGATTTCTCATAGATACATTTTCAGAATTTACGAACTCGTATAAAATAGTACAACAGCATAATATAACAAGATTTCGAAGAAATCACGATGATTCCCATTACTTTATTTATACTATTCTGTTCATGGACTTCAGCAGCGGCTGTTATGGATGGTGATATGGAGCTATTACTTGTACAAGTGGTGAGTAAGAATGAAATATCAATTTATTGAAAATAGCTACTTCATCAGATAAACATGGCTGGAAATGAATAGTGTAAGATCAGAGGAGTTTCACCTACACCTTGATTGTTAGCCTGAGACCGATGCGGCCTGAATTGAAGCGTTTATGAGCATTCCAAGTGATTTACGAAAAGCCTAGTTGCTTAGTATGCATTTTTGTCGGTAGTGATAAGAGTGTCAACGGAATTGCCATAGGGAGTGATACACTGGCTTCAATCAGGTAAGAGTGTAGGCCCAACTACGAAGTAAGAACAATCATGAAGTAGAAGATGGTTTAGTCGGGTGCAATTCATGGCTGATCACGGTTGCAGCCTGCAACTGTTTACTTCCTGTACGACTTGGGGGTACCGCACCAGTCGACTTACAATGCTTTGCAAAAAACCTAGGGAAAGGGTTAGATGAGTGAGCGATGTTGCAGGAATCCAATTGCAGGTTGTTACAGTCAGTTATTGTAGATAATTCTTCTAAATAAAATAAATAAACTTCTTGTATTTTGCAGAAATATTCTATGAGGCATGTCAGTATTGGAGGCAGAAATGTGGCCGCAGGGGGTAGCTTAATACACGAGTGTGGAATAAAAATTATGGCTAAGGTTCTGATAAGTTGACACAATGCAGCAACCGGCACAAAGACATCCCTACCAACGGTCTTTCGTTGTTAGTGGTTCCATAGCCCTTTGCCATTCAGCCCGATTCGCCCTATTCTGGGTATGTTAACTTGCTGACTATGGGTGCGGAATTGAACTAAATTTCTGCGATTTTCTTATCGTTCATGCCGAGACCTCCCATCTCCTTGAGATCCGTAAATTTTCGGAACCAGAACACTCTAGGGTAAGCCTTCTACGGGGCTCATTTTGAAGAAATCGAGCATGTCAGACAAAAATCAAAGTACGACGTCCGAAGCACAGGTGCAGGTTCGAGTGGTTCGAGTGGTTCGTTGCAGGTGCTCAGTGCCGAATATATGACCAGTGACTGAGCCAAGCCTGTGATGATGACAATTAGCTTCAGCTTCGCTGACAGACTGGTAGTCTACCTAGCCTTCCTGTCCCATACTGCGGGATTTGCCCTCAACTGTATCTTCTCTTAGCATCGCGACTGAGCAGAGAATCTTCGAAAAGAAAGAAGAAGAGGAGGACAAAGAGGAAAAAGCAAAAATTTTAGCCTAGGATATGAGCAATATGCACTTACTGTTTTTTGTGTTTTCTGAATGTTCGGCTACTGGCCAGTTCTCTTTATTGTAGATATGGCGTCATGGAGACAGATCACCCACGAAGACTTGGCCTACCGACCCGTTCCAGGAAGGCAATTGGACGTTTGGCGGCGGAGGTTTTGGCCAACTCTCACCTGTAAGATAATTTTTCCGCTTTTTTGACCGTTAGAAGCTCTAAGTAGGAATTTGCAATTGTTTTGAACTTGTATCACTGTTATTTATGGCTGCAGACCATGACAATGGTGTAACTCAAGAGAGTAACTATGAAGTTTTCCCCGAGATAGAGAGGACAGAGTGGAGAGATGCATATAATTTTGAGGACTGGAACCAACCAAATAACTGGAGGGTATTGGAATGTCCATTTCCTCCCATGAGCTGCCACTACCTTCTGCATCATACTTGAATCAAGACAGATCCCACTGTTTCGTGTGAGGTTGTGGAACATCTGTCCAACACCTCATATGACAAGGAGGGACAAGACGGATTTCATCGTCCCGTTGAGGTACTATTACACAGTAACCCAAGGACGCACTGTAGCGACTCTAAAAACCCAACACATATACGACGCAGCAAAAATGTACCGGGTGAAGTTGGTGTAGAGAAACGGTTCTTTTCCGAGTTCTCAAAGCGGCAGTGGTTCCGCCAACTTTATTCTTCCACTTGAAATTCAAACCCTTGCCCTTTATAGCACTCGTGTAAGTGCCGTGGGGAGCTGTGAGCGCGACGCGATGTTTGGAGAAAAATTACCACAGCCGGTTTCTGGTCACCAACGCTCTTACGTTAGCGGGTTGAGCTGTAAGAATTGTGGAATGAAGCTGCAGACATTTGAGAAACTTTGTCCCTGAAAAATTAATCAGATTTTTAATCCGAGAAAATTTAGATTGGAATGGGGCAGCACATGAGACTGGGCGAATTTCTTCGGAAGACATACGTTGACAACTTGAAATTCCTCAACAGCAGATATTCTTCGAAAGAGGTTTGTCAGTGCAATAATCGTGAGCTGAATGTTCAACTGTCCTTAAGAGATTTCTGAGGTAACCTAGAAATGAAAAACATATGTAAAGCTGGTCTGATACAATTCTGAAGGCAGTAAGTGTCTATGAACGGAAAAAGTATTCAGAAGTGTGTTTTCCTAAGAGGTCTAACAAACTTCGTATGCACTCTAACTAAGCACAAATTTTCTACCTAATATAAGTGTTTTGACGATGGTTTCGGACTCAACAGTGTCAATATCAATTAATTATGACGATAATAAGTTCTTTCGGGCTCTGACTAGTGGGAGGCTGGCAGGTAGTGTTCACTTCTGAGGCTGAAAGACATTCAAGCCTCCGAAGCGTATCAAGGGCTTTAATAAGGACAACATTTTCTGGGTAATTTTGGAGTGCCTAGTATGTGAAAATTTCATTTGTAGCACCGACTTGTGCAAATTATGTGTGTGGAAGGCAAAAACAGATATGTCCCCTGCAGAGCTCGACCTGAAGTCCGGTACGGGCTGAGTAGATGAAAATTCTGGGGAGAACCTAGGACATTGATGGGCTACAGTACCTATTTCTCTGAAAAAGATATTAGTCACAATTTCTTGCCTCATGAGCCTTTGATATAAAAGTTTTTTATTTGAAATGGATGCGTGACCAAAATCGAAAGAATCGAATCACTCATGGAAATTTCATGTCAGAAAACTTTCAAAAAGAGTTTTTGCAGATCTACATCCGTTCGACAGACAAAAATCGAACATTAATATCAGCCATGTCAAATATGCTCGGTATGTATGGTCAAGAAAACAACGGAGCTGTAGTTGGTGTGGACTATCCGGGCGATGTAGGATGGCCTAAAGGCTTTGTTCCTATAGCAGTTCATACGGTTGATGACGACACTGATTATGTAAGCGTTAGAATTCCTATGTCATCAATGAATTCGGTCTGCTGAATGAACAAGTATCTCAGATCGGGAATCCTGATGCTGTGTGTGATCGACAGACTTGGTTATGGAATATGGCCAAAACTTCCCAAGAACTTCGAGATTTTCAAAATCGGATTGATGTTGGTGAAGTTTAAGAAGCCCATTGACTTTAAAACTTTTTCGTAGTCCATTGGACTGATGAAAAACAGTCAAATACAGTGAGATTCTAGTACATAAAAGTACATGCGTGGGAGTTTCCAGGTTCGCGACATGCTCGCTAATTTGACAATACATTGTGGTGAACCAGTCGATATCGATAACCTATGGATCATAAGGGATACTCTATATATTGAGGTGAGAACGTCTTGGAAATCTTTGATGCTACGTTGCTATGTAAAGGGCTGTAGAAAGGAAAAGTGAAGCTGAATAAAGGTTTCATTTTAGCAAGTACATTTTAACGAAACGTTGAGAAAAGTGAACAAGTGGTTCAGCGATGACTTCTTCAATCAAATCACCCTAGTCAATGATCAAGTGCAAAAGTACCAAAGCGGCAGCTTTAGTGAGTTCATTATTGCTTAATCGACTGGAAATATGGATTCCGCGCTGTATGACCCAGGTGATAAAGAATGTACAAAGACTAAAACCCATAGGTGACTATTAGAAGCGATGCAATGGAGTTCCTGTTCGCACTGATATTTTTTACCCGCGCTCACAGCTGATTGTGGAATACGTCTCCTTGGCCATTAGCAAGCGCATTAGCTCATAACAAAAGTCGGGCAATGAACACAGCTTTGGGTTAAATGTGAAAAGAAATGGGCAAGGGAGATCTAATAGTACGCTATTCTATCCTTCCTTGATTTGTGTAAGAGAACGGTCGTTTGTAAATGTCCCCTGAAGACATGAGCAGTCAGCTTTAGCAGAAAAATTCGTCGGCACGACTTTTGTGAGCCTCTTCTACAGAACAGAACGACTCTCTAGAGGCTTTTTACTTTTTCTCATTCACTCCGTTGGTTTGAAAAAGTAGGAAAAAGTGAAAAAGTTGTAACGTATAGCATTAATATGTATAAGGAGAGCATCCCCAAAAGCAAGTATCGCCGACTGGCGCAAAACCAAACTCAAGTCAAAATTTGGAGTCAAAGGGTAAGGTACTAGTAAATAACTCGATTCCACAGCAAATCCGCGATTTTCTTCCTTCTGATGATCGGAGTGTGAATGTTCCTTTCTGTCCAACTTCCAGTGAAATCGCTCGCGAAACCGTTTTTACTATTCTAACCCTTCTTCGAACCACGTCTGGAGTGATTCTAAAGTGATTTTTTCAGATGGAACTCTAATGATGAACAACCTCGACATCGGCAATGAATTACAGAAAATTAGAGGTGGATCGATGATGAACGACATATACATGCATATGAATATTAAACTACGGTGCTTGAATAAATCGAGTCCAGATTGCTCGTGGATCAATGGCTTGAAGTACTATGCGTACTCAGCGGTAAGGAAGACTGTTGGTAAGATAACGACAAAAATAATTCAGCATAGTTAACCCCCGCAAAGTACAAAGCGGTGTTGGGACATTGCTACTAGACCAAACAATCTCATCGTAATTCTGTGTTCGGTTGACTGTTTCTATTCCCAACAAGCATAGAAAGTTACACATTCCATCACCTTTCTGTTTTCTCATGGTGGACTGCGAAACTGAATGAAATGAAGGAAACTTTTTCGTCAGGCTTTTTTAGATCTATTCCCCCTTCGCTTATTCACAGCGACTTGGCGGTCATCCATACATACGTGTGATCAGAACCCCCTCTTCCCTCCCTTCCTCTTTCCTACATCGGGATTTCGGAGTCTTAGCAACAGTATTGCTCATAGTTGAAAATTTAATAACTGAATTCTAGAAAAAAAATCAGTATTCCACGATTAGATGGCTTCTTTCAGCACGATTCCACGATCTATCAGTTTTTCTCTATATTCAATATAGAAACGGAAGTCATTACAAACCTCGGCTATCCCGACTACTCTGCAGCGACCTTTATCGAACTGTGGCGGAATCGTAGTGACAATCAGCCTTACTTCAAGGTTGTTTAGCTTTGAAATTGACGTTGGAAAGGGCATTAGGACTGCGTTGAATATCGCCATTATTATTCGATCGTCAATGAGTATTTCAGCTTACCTATCATCAGAACGACCTAAATGTCACACTTTACCCAATCACCCATTTTATTGATACCTGCGAAGGGCAAATATACTGCAAACTTGACAAATTTCAAGCGTTCGCAGACAGGACGAGACCAGACCAACCAATGAGCCAGGTAGATTTTATTTGCTTTATACGGTGTCGGCATATTTCCCATCCCGGTGTCGTGCAGACCTCTGATTCCAAGCATTTCAGTGGTGCAATGTTGATCCTCGTCCTATAGCAGCTTCAAGCTCAAAATGGATGCTTTCGACAACAGGTATCCTTGTCCATTATCAGTACTCTGTTTCACTCTTAACTATGGTGTCATCATGACCAAAGGTTATGGTTTGACCATGAAGGGGAGAGTAGAGTTGGTAGATTCTACGAAACGAACTGTTCCAAAGTAGCTCCCACTCTAACATTTCCGTTGTTCTAACCATAGTATATTTGCATAGCTCTTGAGATGGAACTCATAATAGACAACACTCCCATGGGCTTCCTTACCCTTGAGGTCGATCATTGGAAGGGCACCTCTAGGAGAATTCCTTATTGTAGTTAGAATAATGTTGCCCATCGAGTATTTCCCGGTTACCATAAAAAATTACCGCACGACTCTGGATATAAGTGTAGTGGTGTAGTGGATAAGATCTAGAAAGGAATACCGTACCTGAAGTTACCCCCATTTTGATCGTGGTGATTCTCACTCTGAACATGAAGGAATATTCCCAAAACTTGGTCACCTCTGAACTGAAAACTTGGAGAGAATTGCGAACGGGACCTTCGTTGGCACTCCCGAAGTAGAACAATAATACCAACAGAATTTTTTTCGGTAGGCATGAACCATTCTCCTACAGGTGTCAAGCAATTTTTCTGCCATTTTTCACTGGATATTATTAATAACATGGGCGGTGATGGTGTAGTGGCATGTGGCGCACTATCACACACGGATGGTCCCGGGCTCAAATCCCAGACTGTTACCGCCTAGGCCAACGAAGCCTTCGATCCCTCTGGGGTCGACTAATCGGTACCAGACTCGTCTGAGAGGATTTAGGCATTGGCTTGTACCTTGGCTGGCCACATGTCATTGTATAGGCCAGTCATTCAATACGCCACTACTACAATTCCAAATGGAAGTCGAATTCGGATGTGCATCTCTCAGACGGGGCTGATTGATGCCAAAAGACTTTATCCTTTATCCAAATGTCAATAAGATCAATAGTTAGTACTGTTAGGCTCAAGGAAGCCTCGCATAACTGGACTTACACCTACGGACTAGAGATATCCTGATAATTCGTTCCGGGAGTACCCCCAGACATGTACTCATCTCAGTACCCTAATTCCTTGAAAGGTCAGCATAAATCTGTTCTTTCTGCGGTGATCGATGACTCAAAACAGAGGAGCGTACTTTGTAGCGTACTATATCAAAATGATATAATATAATAGTAACGCCATATCACTACTAGCACAAACAAGAGATTTTCATCTGTGCTGACAGTGTTTTGAGAGGTCTTGAAGTGCTAGAAAAAAATTCGCTAATTTTCGAACGTTGCTTCATAAGATCCCCCCACCGTTTACTAAAACGGCAGAGTCACCCCTTGATTCTCTGCTTTTTGTTTCTGATATAATTGAAATTCGGTCAAAAACTCATTTGCCTCATAAACTACAACTGAACGCTTTCTTATCTAGTGCTCTTTCTGGTGTAATTCTGATATAAAGTCTGAGACGGGGTATCGATTGCGTAGAAAAAGGACGGTCGCAGCAGTCATGAGTACAACCCGGTCGTGCCATACGCGTCCACCTCTTCTTGACTGTTCCAACTCTTCAAGCTCAAACAATGCTTTGAAGTTTTGTGTGACTGAAAAGAAGGAAAATTATGATGTTTGCAATTTGATACGCGCACGATCCCACGTCCTTCAGAGTAGTGGTGGTGTTTGAAGGTAGCATTCAGCTTGCGCAATGACGTGTGGGAGCTGGTCGACATATTAATCAATGCTCCTCACTTTCTGTTGGAGTCTGCAAATAAACTAGTTCAGCTAAAAGATGAAGGGCTTAGTCGGCTTGGGCGGATTTTGGCTCAACTCCGGGCTGCGAGGGTGCTATTGGCAATACTTGGATAACCTTCCTTAGCTGATGAATCATCCAGTTAATTGATTTCAATATTTTTGTCGATGCAAGAAATCTGTTCATCGAATGACGTTGTGGTCTCGGCGTGACATGAATCACATATAATATATTGCATGAATATCACCTGTATCACCTGTCGTCCCGTTGATCATCGACTTCCTCGAGCGGGCGCCATTAACGTCTCCATTCGTCCCTGTCACGAGCCAGAATGGTCCAACGAATCGTGCTCGCTTCAGGGACGCGAGAATCAACATTCCTTTCGTTCAGACCTTGCGTGAAGAAGTCTGACCATCTCGTTGGCGGCCTTCCTGGAGTTCGTTTGTTTCTCGAGGGATCCAGTCAGTAACCGCCCTAGTCCAACGGTCATCACTATATCGCATAACATGTCCGGCTCCGTGTTCACCTTTTCGACACTGCTGTCCTTCTTGCTTTGACGTACTTGGACTCTACGAAAGCAGAATGAGCATGCTGTCAGCGTTACTCAACGCGCTTTGGAAAAGACGATGCTCGGAGTTTCCCTATACACGCAAGTGCAGAAGGGAATCCAGGAATTCCGAGTTCCGTCAACGAACGAAGATCAGGGATGCCGTTGATTACGCCAAGGAATCGTGTTTTTATAATATATATTACATGAATACATATTATAAAAATACGCGAATTCATACGTAAACAAAATATAGGCAACGCATTGATAACCAAGTTCATCAGGTGATGAAAGACAAGAACTCAGGGAGTATTCAGTAGTAACCAAACAATAGAAAGCGATGGAAAACAAGATAAGAAAGGTTAAGCTTCCTCGTAGGAGACATTTACCTAACATGACAGATGTCAGAATAGTGAACTCTTTCGTGCCTTGGGAAAGGGAACGATTATTTTTCTGATACTGTTATTCCGGCGTCTTTGATTACGAAGCACATAATTTAAAATATTAGCTGTGGTAGTTCTCTGATACATAACTTCTTTTCATATTTTTTTTTCGAACACTCTATATGCTTCCTCTGTGCTAGAAGTACAGTAATCATAATTAACTGATTACAGTGCTCATTTCGTTGATCGCTCTATGGATAGGCAGCTGACAAGTCCCACATTATTATTATTGATACGATATTCACATGTATAAATCTATTTGTTGTGATTAACATTCACAACATTGGAATTCTTTAGTTAATCTTTTCAGACCGCAGAATTGTCTTTTTTTTTACCTTCAATGGCGCTCCACTTGTTATTCTCCCTGAATAAATCTTTGGTGTTAATCAACGTCACAAACTCAGTTTCTATTGAAATTGTTGTTCCTTTCTGATGGCCATTCAGTTGACACGTGTGCCACAACACTCACTATTTTCACCAGCATGAACAAGATAGTTTCGCTCAAGCCACTTTTGTTTTGAAAGTTTTGGACGTCTCGAAATTTAAAACCCTAAAAAGTTGTTTTTCTTGGTATCAGAAGGCTTTGTTGTTTGCGCTTGATAAATCGAAGGCGTGATTGTAAATGGGCTCCCCTCCCTCATGCTCGGACTCAGATCTACCATGAAAATGAGAAAATCAACTAATTATTTATTTCTTCAATAAAGTCAGACAGTGGAAGGAGCTTCTTCTGTTTCAATTAAATGATATAAGAAAAGGATCCTCCTTTGCTGATTCATAAAGTCAATAATGAGATCCGCAGTGTCATTGCCATGGGAAATGAATATACCTACACCCAGCCGGTGTCAGCTCACTTCACAGCAATCTCAGATTGCATTAACAGGAAGGGAGATGCGTTTCAATTACTGTATAGGAGAAGTCACACCCTATATAAAGTTAGCCTTTGATCGCCACTTTTGAACTCGAGACAGCTGATTCTATGTTGCTCACCAGGACCGACTCCGTTACTCAGGGTGGTACGGTGCTTCTATATACCTAAGATTGTGTGATAAGTTAGTCTCGAAGATATCGTAGGGTGTTGAGATGTTTGATCGGGTAGCTTCATAAGTTTGATTCCATCCTTTCACGATCCGAGTAAGGCAACTTCCCTGGAAAGTAAGCCATTAAAAGTTGTGAACTTCGTATGGAGTTATATGAATTAACTTATTTCGCATCTGAGGGTATCACTAGTGATACTAGAGGATGCACACTGAACTTAGTACACCGAAAAATCATGGAAAAACTAGGTATTTAGTCGTGCCGTAGATTGACTCAAGAACTTTTGAAGGGATTTTGTCGGAAACATGGACTGCTACACTCCTTCCCATTCCGCATCTCCATATGACCTTCTTTTCAAGAGCGTGGTTAATATGGTGGAATATTTATTTCCCTTACGGTCTCTATAAGATCACCATACACCCTTGACGAAGGACGAGCGGACCATCCCTAATGATGCGCAACTGTATAACAGATCCACGATCTGCACACAGGATAAGGATTTCGGCATCTGTTTACCATGTGAATTTCAACATAACCGGTGGCTTTGGCGGCTTTAGGGTGCAAGTGGCTGCTTTCATAGTCCGCCGGCCGGCCCGCGAGCGCGTGCTTGTTTGCAACTGAATTTTGATCGATACCGCAGGCCGAGTAGTCCCAAGCCGGAGCGCTCGCTTACGGGCCGGCCGGCGGACTATGAAAGCAACCAGTGACGTAAATTGTTTCGGCTACTGCGTAGGGATAACAGGAGAATCAAATGACACCGTCAAAAGCTTGCTTGACACACAAGCCCACTGAGTACAATGACAACAATTTTGATCACTAAGAATAAAATTCTGCTGCATGATCTACTGGTGAGGGAAAAGACAAGTAGAAGAAAAGACAAGGACGAGCAAAATCAGTTTTTCAGTTTTTCAACTGGTTTGAAATAGTTTTAGAGATTGTGGCTGGATAAGAAAGCAACATCTGCGATGGTACGGGCATCTACTAAAAAGTTCACAGAACCATCCAATACGGAAGGCATGGGGTTGGAGCTGAAGGTAAGCAACCACGAGGAGCCCAACCAAAAGAGAGATGGCGGGATGATCAAGAAGGACCTCGCTGAAGCGAGAATAACGGCAGAAGATGCAGTGGATCGACAGAAGTGGAGACGGTTTACAAGAACACCGGACCATGCGACGGCACAGGATTAATGCTAGGGATAAGAAGAAGAAGAATTTCCAGAGAATGTACAAGGTAAACTGAACCGAAAGAGTAACGAGAGCACAGAATGCACCAGTCTGTGTGAAGGTCACCTTCTGTGTGATGCTCCATAAAGTTTTGTTGATGCACCACAGAGAATAATGTTGAGGTTTTTTATAAGTCAAGCCACCAACTTCTACTGAAGAAAATAATGGCGTTGGTATTCGCATGTGGTTTTGTCCTCCCGAGTGTTTCACCTAAAGAACGGCCTCAAAGTAACGACTGGAATACCCGCGGCGGCTAGTCACTTGGCGATACCCCAATTATCCTCCAGTTTTGGAATATTTTTCTCAATTACAATTCCTGGGCATGACTCAATAGCATTACAGTTTACCTGAGTACTGTCTTTTGTGAAAACGCTTCAGTACCATTGGATTTGAAGCTACAAGTGAACTAATACTTGTAAACAGCTTACGGCCAGCAACGGAAAATAACTATTTATTGGACCTTTGCCGCATTTTGCCTTCGTTCTCTACGAGTCACCAGCGGTCAGCGAAGGCAAGAGAATAGAGAAGATGAGTGAATAAGAAACAAAATTGCTACTAAAACATGTTGTTGGATGAGGTATGTAGACCTGTAATGGACTCTCAACAACTATGAACGATCGAACACCAAATCTCCAAAGCAGTGTTGAAATCGAAACGTGATCATTTGTATTCGTGTCTAAAAAGAAGTATTGCAGCTCTCAAAAACATTTTTCGGTAGGAGTGAAGTTCAGATATAGCGATGGAATTCGTATCAGGTGATCTGTGGTGCACCCGTGAAAAAATCGAGATTTTCGCATGGAAGTGAAGATTAGATAACGGCTGAAATCTGTCTCTGCTTGCTTTTTTGCCATATTCAAGCAAACTGTTTTCCACTCGGGAATGAGTGCAAAGCCCTACACCACAGTTGTTTTTTTTTTCGTGAATNCTTTCCACTGTACAGCACCGATTTCTCGTCATTATCATTTGCCAGCTTGGATCGGAAAATTCAATCTATGTATGTACAAAGGAAGGAGACCTAATAATTTTCCACGAAAGCCTCCTTCGACTTCCTCGACCAATTTCAGTTGTTTTGAATTTCTGGGAGCAGCTTACTTTGGCGTTCATATTTTGATGCGCTGAGAAGTTGAGCTGTTATCTTTCAGGTTGTTTTTATATTTCAATCGGCTCATAAATTTTTCTTTCATTCATATCGTAATACGCTTTTCATGGAACAAGAGACTCGGGGTCAGATGACCAATTCTCTGAAAAACAGACAATCAACCAGCCAGCAGCCACTCCGTTCTTATACTCATTTGGTGGGTCCTTTGCCGGGATCGCCCATCACCTCGACCTTTCTGGCATAACGCACTTTTTCGAAGTACCCAGTCGACAGATTCTGAATACTGCTACGTTTATAGAATGCATATGTACTACCGCACCTTGAATACTGTTCTCAAGTTTGGAGCCCATTGCATAAAAAGAATGTTATCAAGCTTGAGAAATTTCGTAGGATGTTCACTAAACTCTTGCTCCGTAGAGTATACCCTGACATATCTTAGGGTAGCTTGTCGAGTTGTGAAGAACGTTTGAGGCGACTTAACATGATGACTCTGACAATTAGACGCGTCTAGCCAACTTTTTTTTTGCTTTCGTCTCCTACGGATGGAATTTAGATT